TTAATTTGTGCATTACAGAAAAATTCCAAGGACTAAAAGTACAGCTAGATCAAAACAGGAAGACCCATTATTCCAGTCTTGTGCAACTAGACAAAGACTCACAGATCAGAAAGCATTATGTATAATGAAGTCCAAATACCGTCTTAATTTTTCAGTATGGTATCTTTAACTCTGCTTAAGGTACAGCAGTTCTTATTTTTGAGGTTGTTCAGTCTTGATTCAAAGGCTTTGCATGATTACATGTACATTATAATCATACATAAATTATTCTAGTGTTGAGATACTGTGAAAAGACTGACTTTTTGAATTTGCCTTTTACCTCTTAGCTCAGATTACTCACTTTTTGATCTGGGTTAAAGATATTTCCACTACATTAGATCCAATTTGTAGAAAGCCCAAACATGAGATAAGTGCTTGTTATCCTCTTTCACAAGCTAAGGAGATCCTACATACAAAACCCAAAATATTTTTCAAGCTTGAGTAAAACAGCTAAAGAAGTGCTTCGTTCCTTCATATTAAGGTGCTACAGCAGTAGCTCCACTTATATGAGCTGCTCTGTGTCTTTCCTTCACCTCAAGGACTCAGCTTTATGGTTTACTTCTCCTCTCTTGTCTAAGGAATGACTGAATCGTTCAGCAAAGTATCTTCAACCACCCACTTCTGTACCATGCCTGAATATTTTCATTTGGGTTATAAATTATATAACTCCTTGGTTACCTCGTAAGTGTGCTCTCACAGAGTCTTGTGAGTGTGGCAGAGGAGATGGACATAAATCCAAGCAGCAAAGACAAGGCTGACCTAGGGGAATTGATCATTCTTACATCAAGTGTGATGAAATGTCACAATACTCTTTATCCCTCTGGTTGTAACATCATTATGATAAAAATATCGATCTATTGTTCTATTTCTGTTCTTGCAAAAGGTGTTAAGTATCCAAAACCCAGACTAATAATAGTCCATGGGACTGTAAAGCCAGTTTCACCGTGCACTCTAGCAACAGCAAGGTAGGCTGCGTTGACAGAAGTTTAGCAGATATTGTCAGGGTGTATTACTGAATTATTCAGTGTCACCGGTATTTTTGTTCTGCTGATTTTCATGGATTTACTGATGGAGGAAGTGGCAGTTTGTATACTGTGAGATCAAGAGATGTGTTGGATTCTTAAAAACAACAGGGGACTGACATAAATGCAATGAGAGCTTGTTTGCTTGAATAGACTGATTTGCTGCAGGTAGTTGACAACAAAGGGATTATATGAAAATTAGAAGTGTTACATCATAAGGAACTGGCTGTTTGTAAACATAGAATTTTTAAAGATGCAGGACTGGAGAGATAAAGAGAAAGCTGATGTTTGCACAAGTTAGTAGGGGAAAAGCAATCACCGTAAGTATAAAAGAACAAAGTACATTGCGTAAGACATACAACTGACAGGAGAAACTAATATTCATTCAGTTACCTACTTAGAAGAAAGAATAGGGCTTGGGAGGCCCATGCTACACCTTCGTATCAGACCCACACCTTTATACTCTTATTTTTTTCCTCTGTGCAATGGAACAGTTGTCCATGCTTTCCAATTCACTCTGATTAAGAGAGAGTGTGAGTTTGAAAGCTGTTCCTGATCCTTGTCTTTGTGAATGCTCTTCTTCCACCTGTTCTGATTTCACCTAATCTGCTCCCGGAAAGAAGTCAGTTTTGACCAAGTATTAAGATTAACCAGAATAAGCCTATTTTTCATTAAGTTGTTCAGAAACAGCTATTCTGAAGTAACAGCTTTACAGTAACTCCATCACGTAGGCGAGTCTTCAAGAAAATGATGTGAGGCTGCTAAGGGAGTGGTATAACATAAAATCAAGGGTACTCTCAAGCATGAAGGCAGCAGGAAAATTTTCTGCATGAAAATTAATTTCTTAATTTTCTTGTCTCAACACCCCCAGCCATATCAGGTAGAAAGTGTGACACAGAGAGGGGCTCTGGCGGTGGGTCACACAGCTGGTGGTTTGGCTGTTGACGTGCTTCTGCCCATCCAAGGCTGGAGGGACTGCTGCTGCTGCACCTGCTTCCTGGTGGCAGAGCCCTCCTCACCTTTCTGTCCCTTGCTGATTTGTGCAAAACTGTGCTGCTCCGCTTTCCCACTGCACACAGCCCACGGTATCGGGGGTTTTTCCCGCAGTCGCTGTATTCTCGGGCCCAGTAGTTCTCCCAGGCCGTGCCTGCATCCCTGCACCTCCACTGCTCTGAGCACAGCCCTGCATTGCCTGTTCTGCCTCCCACCATCTTATGTCTCCAGCGTGGCTCCGTGGCCCCTCTCGGAGGGCCTGTGGGTCCCCTACTGTGCTCACACAGCTGAAATACTCCAAAGAGCATGTTCTGGCTGTGCTTTTATCTGCTTGCTGTGCACCCAGCAGGGACACCACCTTGGGCCACCCCTGCCAAAGGGCGTGCGTGCAGCCTTCTTTTTCATTTTCTCCCTGGGAAGCAGAGAAGAGTGAGTTTTAAATATAATGCATAGTTCAATGCTGCTAAACAGAGCCTGTCTGATTGCAGATGCAGCTGGAGCTCCTGGCTTAGTCCTGGCACAAGCAAGCTAAGGACAAAAGGTCTTCGCTCCTCTTACGCAAAGAGACAATTTCTATGGCAGCTGAGGGCAGCATTAGTATTCATGCCTTGGCTGGGCTGGCAGCAAGGCGGCTAACTTGATATTAACTGTGGCACAATGACTGGGCTTTATGGGCTGCTTCTTAATATATATCACAGGTAGCCAACCAAGTGTCTCTTTATCCTAATTTCCTTGGGGTACTTGCTCTCCTACATGTTCCAACAATGGGCTGTGGGTTTTTCTTGTAATGGTGGTGGGTTTTTAAGAGCCACAGGCAGATTCCCTGCTTGGCTCGTTTTTTGTCATGTTGTAATTCTGTATTGGTTTCTTTTCCAGCTGACAAAAGTTCCTCTTAAACTCAAGTCGTCTGTGTTTACAAATACTTAATTGTGTAATATACTAAATCTTTTCCCCAGCATTTGAACGGGACCATAGATTAGCTGCTGAGACATTTCCACATCATATGCATTAGGAACGTGTTACCCTGAATGACTAATGGAAATTATTTCTGCTTCAGGAAGCAAAATGATGCTGAGTGAAAGAGTGAAGAGGGTTTATATGGAAACAAGAGTATATTCCCCTTTGCTCAGACCCGCTGAAATGCACCCTCCCCTTCCCCCTCATCATGTGTCTCGCCACAGCACAAGGGTGTGCCAGAACATGTTCCCACAACCTTTCAACCCATTCAGTGCAGCCTGCAACTTTCCTGGCTATTTTTGTGTACTCCACTCAATGATTAAGTGCTTGGGACTGTGATAATACATCCTTTCACCACCAGTGCCCAACAAAATGCACTCTCAGCTGCTCATAGACAGCTTTTCCGGTTCTTCTTCCTAAAAAAAATTGGATTATCTGTAGATCATCCTTCTGATCAAAAGGAATTAAACTTGAAGATATGTTCTTCTTGGTAAGGACTTCAGCTCTTAGTAATTAGGTATTATTCATGTCGACAGTAGGGTTTCTACATCTAACTGAAGCCCCTTGCAGACTGCCTTTGCATGTTATAAACAAAGTGGCTCATCTGTAGGCAAAGATTAACCACCTCTGGGTCAAAACAGGGCATCTATTTAATTATATAAAGCTGTAGCACACAATGGTTTCTTTAACACCTCTGGTTCTATAGTGGTATTTTAGCTTTGCTTCAACTTCTCAGTCTCTTTACCAAATATGCTATAACCTTGCTGATGATTTATCCTTGGTGGAAAGGCCTCTTTCCCCTCTCACATCTGACAGTTTTTCCATTGCTCAGCCACACTCGAGTGTTGTGACCTCCACTCCCTTAGCAAGAGTAATTCAATCTCGTATTGACCAGGCGAAAGAGCTGCCGTCAAATCACTGTGGTTCATCAAACTTGTCAACACCGGAACAGAGTCTCCTGTTCTGGGTTGGGTGTCACAATGAAACAACCCCAATAAAGCATCACAATTGCTCCTGCAATATCAACTGACAGGGAGCAAGGCATACCATCTCCATCACGGCTGACGGACAGGTCACTGACAGCTCACAACCCAAATCACCTCTGCTTCACATTATACCCTGGTGAAAATTAAAACAACGAAATGGTAGCATTACCATTAAACAAAGTAGGGGAGCATCAATCACTGCAATGCAGACAAGACGTGACGGAATCAGAAATCGGAGCTTTTGGTTCCCACCTTCCCACTCATCTTCAGGAGTGCCTGAATCCTGTAGGAGCCTTCATTCTCTGAGCTTCCAGGCAGGCTCTGCAGCAATGTTTGAAAGCAGGAGTTTGTCTTCCAAGGACCCTTGGCACCAGTGAACGTTTCAGCATTAAGGCCTGACTCAGTAAACAGAACTGGGGTTAATTGCAGGGAGCCAAAATGAGAATCTGGCCCTACACATCCCTGCAGAGATGAGTGATTTTTCATGCCAAGGTGACCTGCTAGAAACAGGGTCAGGTAGAATAGGAAAGCACTCCCCTGATGGGTTACCTCTGGTTCTGCAGGACATATCCACTGAATCCCACAGAGCAGCCAGGGGAAAGTCTATATCCAGAAACAGGAAATGAGGCTGTTTTGGGACCTGCCAGCCACAGCCAATATGAGTTGCACAGGCAACAGGCTAGACTCCCAGAGATATAAATCAGCCAGGCTCAACCGACACCACAGCTTTGCTCGTTTACACTAACGGAAGGTGTTGCTCACTGTATTTCAGGTGTTAGATTCTAATTTATACTCACTCTCTATCCCAATAGGATAAAGCAAATCACATTCATTGGCATGCCCTTGGCTGAAGAGGGTATTGCATTATGCCTTTGGTTTGATTTTAAAAACCAAAAGCAAAACCTTAACTTAGTCCTTCCAAATTGCCATAGGAAAACGCACAACAAAACCATGCTGTAAAAATATTTGGAATGTTAAAAATAGACTGGCATTTGAATAGCTGTTGAAAGGGAAAGCATGCCCAACTAAACCTGGCATGACCAAAGCTGTTTATTTTCCATACACTTCCAAACAGGTTCAGCACACAGAGAGATCATTTCCTCATAGGGTCGCTGTATCCCAGGTAGCACTGATGGCAGTTCCTAGTGTAACTGTAGCTGGTTTTCCACTGCTGTCACCTGCCTTCCTGGCCTGGCATTCAGTCTGGGCATTGTCGTCATCAAACTGGAAACTTTTTCACTGAAGGAAACTGCGAAGGTTGAATTAATGAGACCAAAAATCTTACCTAGGAAAATACTAGCATCTTCAAATTTTAGCCTCTGAAATTCTTCTATGTTATTTTAAAGGCAGAACTTACCGATTTGTCGAATCATCAGACAGATCATTGCATGAAAACATTTGCTGCTTTCTCAGTGCCCTGTGTTGATGCACTTGCACATTGCTCATTTTCCACCACCGAAGTCATGCTGTGCTATATCAAACATTCATGTGTAAGTCTCTGCAGCATCCTTTCATGGCAAAATAATGATACCTTAGAAGCATATTTTTCTAGCTCAAGTCTAAGTGCCAATGTATTTTTTATACATCTACAATCAATATTCATCTTTAAATATGAGAGACCTATAGCACTTCTTATGAAAGCATTTTGAAGGGCCAGAGCACAGCATAAGTGGAAGGGCCATATTATGGAGAGGGGAATTGATACCAAGAGGAGCGATGAACTTAATGTTATGTGAAGCCAATGGACAGGCAGAAAAGCAGTAGATAAATAACCACATATTATTCTTGTTCAATTGAAGCCTCAAACCATCATTAGCAAGAAAGTGCTGCTAGTAGAATTATGAACATCCTCTCTGATATTTTACATGACCGTATTTATGTGTGTTTCTAAACAAGATCTCCGCAGCAGACTGCAACAGTCAGCTTCACACTTTTTCAAGGCAAAAAGCTTCACCTTTGCTCTTTCTTGCCAGTATGCCTCACTTAAATTGAGCCTGGGTTTTTGATGACTGCCTGAGGTGGTTTCTCTGTGTGCTAGAAGAATCATTTCAAAAGGCTTACTCGTTCTAAAGTGCACCAGAGGAATGTGGGGAAGTGCACTGGCAAGGGAAAAGATCATCAGTGCAAACAAAAAGAGCAGTTTAATCTTGCTCAGCTGTATCTCAGCTGCAATTCTACTTTCTCTGGGCAGCTTTGACACAATCACGATGCAAGCGGATGGCTAGGAAGTGCAATCTTGCAGTAGCACCCAGCCCCACCTTGAAACAAGACCAAAACACCCACAGAAAAAGGAAAGGCTTGCTCACCAAGCCATAATACAAAACAAAATTTTCCTCTACCATGGCTGCAATTTTTTGGTAGTCTCTTACATTTCTGTGTCTATCGTGTGTAGCAGGAAGCTATCATCTGCATTCAGCCTTATCACAGGTAGTGATTTTGCTTGGTAAGCCTGTGGATGAGTCATTAGGTCCACCAGCACAACACCGTGTGCTGCTTCATGCCAGGCACACCCTGAGGAGCCAAGGCAGCAGGGTGGCCATACACCTGTGGATGCCCACAGGAAAAGAGGCTGGAGTTGAACCCTGTCCTGGCCAGCAGCAAGTTGTTTGACATTTTTGTCTTTGTTTTTCCTCCTTTGTTAAGTTATTCCTCTCTATTTCATCTATTGCTAGTGGCATCTCCCACATGCAGAATGCTTTAAAATCATTGCATAAAAGGACATCTGTGGAGATGCACTTTCCTCTCCAGGGTAACTGGCGGAATGAGAAGAAAACATACTGCCCCCCAAATCTGAAAAGTTAATTAATTAGAGGCTTTCTGGCTCAGAGCTGGGGAAGCCAAAAATGTGTTTAGTGGAGAACTCTCCTTTGGTCTGGCATCTCACTGTGGGTAAGGGGGGGGAAACCCAGGGAAAGATCACTACAGTTTGCTTCAGAGGATGACTTCTTTACGGTGGATGTTTTATTATACTGGCTAAGGCTTGCTGAAGCTCTCTAGAAAAAGTCATATCTCCCAAATAAACAAGTACCTAATCACTAAAAAAACCTCTCACTCCTTGCATGTTCTTGCAGTGCTGCCACAAGCCACACAGAAAAGCAGGCTTGGGCCAGGGAATCCCTCTCCACAATCCTCATCCACAGCAAGTTGTGTCCTGGTGTTCCCAGGAGACCATCTGACTCTAGCAGGGCCCTTGCGAGCTGCCAAGCAGCAGTGTCAGCACTGCTCTGCCTGCATGTTGGGCTTTGCTTTTAGTCTCACTGCTATTACCAGAACCTACACTTGGACCAAAACAGGTTTCCTTCCTCCATTGCAACGACTTGGAAAAACATGGACTTATTTCAGATAAAGCCCAAAGAGGTGAATGATTTGAGGTGCATCACATCTGATTAACAAAAATCCTTAAGTAAGAATAATCCTTCCCTTTGAGCTACTTTGAAATAACCTTTAGCACAGATGTCTCTTCAGGCTCAGGACAGACGAATGCAAAGCAGACAGGTCCCGAGAGTGCTTTCCCCTACTCTCTTATACTTCTTCTGTATCTTTTTGCCATAATGTATTTGCATTTTAAAGTTACAAATGGAGAAAAATTACACCTTGTGGGAAGTTTAGCTCTGCTCACGTGATCTGCTTTCTTTTTTTAGCATGATGCTTCCTGTATGCTCAGGGAGGTCAGTCACTGTTTCTGGTAAAGTACATTCCCAGAAGAGAGGGGCAAGAGAGGAGGAAACGGAGTGCAGGGCAGGCAGTTTCTGTGTGAGTAGCTAAGTAGCCCCCAACAGCACAGGGGACTCAAAGGGAAGAACTTTTTTTCATGCAGAAATCTCCCTTCCTTCAGGCCTTCTGAGAAGCTGGCAGAGTGAGCGCAGCATCTCTTTGCAAACTGGTGCCTCAGAGATGCAGCTGCTGATTTGAAGTGTGAGGGTGAAATGAAAGTTGCAATCACCTCGCCCTGCTGCCTTCAAGGGCAACAGCACCGCTGTGGAGGGAGATGCTTTGGGCCCATTCTCCTCACCCTTTTCTGGAGGCAAAGCTCCTGGTAGTGCCTTCCTGCACCCAAAGGCACCCGGGGGAGGGGGAAGAGAAACCCTGGGGAGCAGCAAAGCCCAGCGTCCTGTGCCTCTCTGTGCCCAATGTGCCATTTGGGCTCAGCAGCCTTTTGTGACAACATCCCCAGATTCAGGTGGGAGGCCACAGGACATCCCTCCTCCCTCCCTCTGCCACCACCACCACCGTGTGTCATTTGGCTCCTCCGTGTCCAGGACCTGGCTGAGGAGACCTCCTGCCCATGGTGCTGGCAGAGGCCATGGTCATTCTTTCCATGTGATAAATATGGTAACAGAGTTTGCACAAGGTCAGAGCTGGGAATAAATTCCATTGCTCAAATAGGAGAGAGCTAAGTTTCATTCACTTGCCACTGTTCCAGCTCTGTGTCAACGCTGTTTGTTAAGGGTGACCTATTACAGGTGACCTAGAGGCTGCCCTGGAAACCAAATTCATTTATTATCTCTCCTCCAAGCTTGTGAAAGCACCTCGGTACAGCCAGTGACTGAGCATGCTGGACATGTTTGCTCCCAGCTGGGCTGGTGCTGCTTGCACAGGCTGCGTGCGTTTGGGCAGGCACAGCACGCTTGGGAGCTATAGGATCGCTGTGCTATGGACCCAACCCAGGTAGCAGGGCACTCGACTTGGCTGCCTTTACTGCATGCAGAGGTCAACCGCTTGCTGCCGGCACTGCTTTCCCAGGCCAAGAGCAGCCGCAAGCCCAGCATCTTCACACGGCAGTTGTGCAGCCCCTGCCCTGTTCCCAAAAGGCTCATCTTTGGCTCAAGTGGGGAAATCCCTTCCGTGCATCTGTATGTTGCGAATAGGTCCAGTCACTTGCCAAAAACTGGCTGTTGTGCTAACAGATGCACAGAGATAGAGTTATGCATTACAGGCAGTTTTAAAAAAAAGAAAATCTGGCATTTCAACAGCCCTGAGCACTTGCTCTTGTGACTTATAAAAGGGAGAAAAAGGATATAAAATATTCAATACAAAGTGTATACTAAATATTGCAATTGCATGTTGAAGACCATTAATCTCTCTCTGCTACCCATTTTTCTCAGATCACATGGAAAAGACTTATTTTGGAATACCTGAAATATGCAAGTGTTGTCCACGTTAATAAATTATGGGCAAATCAACTGTCCATATGCATAAAAACTGCTTGGTAAACATGAGAGAGGAAAAAAAATTCTCATCTGAATATAGCTGATAGCCTTTACACTGTTCTGAGTAGGAGGTTACCTAACAAATGCACATTTTATTTGAATGATGAATCTGCCTCACATCTGTGCACCAGTGTTTGAGATCTGCTCAGATTCACGCTGCAGTTGAAGTTAAATTAGTATTTCTACACTGGTTCTCTGGTTGAACAGCCAAGAGTGTCATTTCAGGTAATGATGTTTTGACTAGGGGGAATACAACCATGGAATAATAAAACAGCATTCTGAGCTATCAGACAACAGATCATATTGGACAATGTGAATTCAAAATCTTAAAGCTGTATCAAGTGAAGGTGCTTCATCCTCATGCTGGTTCAGATACTCAAGAAAATCATCTGGTTTGCTATCAAGAACATGGATGGAGTGAAACTTAGGTCGCTGCTTCCTAAACCATTCCCGTTCGTTATTTTAATTTTGAAAATTCAGAGAATAATGTCCTTTCTATGCTTTGATATATGGATGGAGAGGGAAAATGTGTTTTCAGGATGGAAGGTTGTGTAATTTACATGAGGAAACTCTAACACCGAAAAGCTACATCTGAAATCTGAGAGCTCACCATCGTACAAACATAGAGCTACTGTGGCCTCAGTGTGCAGAAGTAAGTTTTAAGACTCTTCAGAAAAGCAAATTACAATCATTTCCAAGTCTCCTCTTATGCATTACTAACTTTTTAATTGTCATCCATGTGTGTTCCATAACCAAGGATAATTCCTGCCTTAAGGAATTATCAAATCTATTTAAAGACTGATGAAAGTATAATATATTGCAGGTAAGCCGCTTCCATATTTTAAAAGTATCCAATTAAACCTGCAAATACACCTGTGGAATCAGCTGGTACCCTGTATTTAAACAGATAGGACTTCTCTAATTAAATTAGATGAGAATATATATGCCCAGTACACATCAGTGATGCTTGCTGACAGGTTTGCATTATGTTCCTTCAATATTTCTCTAGGGGCCCGCAGGCCAATTTGAAATCTGTGCACTGTTTATTTTCATTTTAGCCTCCCTCAGTGACCACATCATTTGTTCACTGACAGCACACTTGAAAGCCTCTACAGCTCTATTTGTTTTTACGTACAGGCTATTCAAGATCTTTTCCCATGCCAAGGTGAGAAGCATCACAGCAGATCTGTAAAGCAGGTTAGCAGGGCTCACCTCTGATGAAGGTGGTAAGAGGGGAGATGCTAAGGCTCTCTTGGGAGAGCATAAACGAAGTTATCTTCATGAGGAGTAAACAGATCCATCGCTTGGCATGGAAGAAGGGTGGGAATTACAGCTGAATTAGAATTACCTTTCTCTGTTTGCATTGTAACAGGTTTAATGTGTTTGTTGAATTCATTTAAAGAGACATTCAGATGTTTACAAAGATCTTCCTTCTGTTTTCTGTCCTAAATATTCCTTTGAAATATTGAGCCTTGAGCCAAATGCTTAAGTCTTTAGTAAGAACTTTGCCTAAGTAATAAAATTAATAATGACTTCAGATTTTGGCCGTAGATAAAAACAAATCTCCCTGTGACAGAGAAAAATAATCCATTGATATGATGGTCACTGACACAATAAATCATTTCATAAATCCCTGAGCATTGATCTTTCAAATGCTTTGTAGTTTGAAATAGACACACTGCATGCTTTAGAAAGTCCTTAATTATGCACTTTTTTCAATACAAGTATTCAAACCTCTCACATGACTAATACTTTTGTTTAAGACAAAACCTTGAGAAGGGGGTAGGATTAGTTGACATAAGGCATAATAATGGCTGTCTTCTGGACAGATGTGCTGAAAATGCAAGGGGCACTTCTGACACATCTGTCCAGAGGCAGCAGCAGTCTGGCTCTCCTCTCTGGTTAATAGCATCAAAATATTAAATCAATAAATCATCCTCTCCCTCATGACGTAACACCTGATATTGCTGCATTTATATAAAGCTAAATCAATGCTGCTGACTCAAACAACTCCCAGTTTGGTGTAGCAAAAGGATATCCTTGCATTTACCAGGACCTGGTCCACTCATGTTATTGAAAGTTAAATACCAGTAAGCCAGGGTACTACATTGCAACCTCTGTCAATGACTGCCCTGAGTGAATTCTCTTGTCTACTGTTATATTTCAGAAACCTCTTCAGTGGAGAGTTTTTTCTACTTTTGGATATTGTATACCTACACAAATACAAGTGACTCAGCAGAGAAGATTCCAGCAGAAAAAAAATCCCAGATAATCTGCTGAATTTGTTTACTTTATTGTAGGTGATACCCCTTTCCCAAGTTGCTTTAGCATCTCTGCTGTGCCAGCATTGCTTACCCCTGGGTGGGTGAGATAGAACAAGTACTTAAAGGTTTCCTAAAGGATATGGACTGAGATGCATCCTCAAAATGGAGGATGAGTCCACAAATTTCCTGGAAAGTTTTGTGTTTGTCATCTAGCCAAGAGTGTGTGTGCTTTCTCAGGAACATCTATGAACTGAGGTCAGATATATACAGGACAACACATCGGGACTGGTCAAGTTAAGCAATATACTTCCCTCACGCAGATACTCAGACAGGTCTTGTTAAGGAAAAAAATAAAACATTTCAAGTCTAAAAATTTACTAATTTTTCTACATTATTGAAAGAAAAGACAGATTAGAGCATATTTCCCTAAGCTAGGTTTGGGTCAATAAACTTGATATATTCTTAAGGATGAGTTTTTAAAGATCACTACCTTCTGTCTGTAAATTAACCCATTATCTCAGTGCAAGGTCTAGAATTTTAGTAACAAGGCACTTTTCTGATCAGGACAACAAACCTGATTTTTAAACAAAACTGAAAGAATCTATTTCTCAAATGTGCTGGAGGGAAAAAAAGGCGGATAGCTGTATTCCTGTAAAATCCTGCCCTCCCTCCTCCTATTTTGTAGAGGAACAAAGCTCTTATCTTGAATGTTTAAATTCCACAAACCCAACAACAATGGAGTGCTCAGCCCTGTGACATCTAAATTTCCTGTGTGGCTCAAACCCCTCATTAGTGAGATACCCTTTATCATGGGCCAGCCACTTTTGAAGTTGCAAGAAATCCCTGAAAGATGATGGGACACTTTTTTGCATCACTACTGAAATCTGCTGTTCTAACCTGCAACCCAAGGTAAGCTGTGAGAGGTACGTATGGGACTGGCTATACCTCCCCTTGTGAGGTGCAGTACTTTGCATCACCTTCTGCAGCTCCGCAGTGTCCGTGCAACTGTGAGGGTCCCTCCAGCAAACTTAAGCCTAATTCTATTACATCAGGCAAAAAGCTTATAAAGCCTTAAAGGAGGGATCAAAAAAAAGCATGCATTATTTTTTCTCCTGTGCTGGTGACCACAACCTTACACAAGAGTGTAAGGAAGGAAGTGAAGAAAGTGGGTTGTTGTGCTGTCTCACAGCAGCAACTTTCTGCAGCTCCTCAGGCCACAGAGAAGGGGATCTCAAATGTGCTACGATACGTAAACACAGCTCTGGGTGTAGCAAGGATATTGCGGGCAATATTAATCATATCCCAGGGTATCACTTTGCCTTTCTAGTTCAGACCCTATATGCAAACATCAGACACACCAACAGACAAATACATTACATATCAGTGCCATGACTATGCTTCCAAATGGGATGAAGCAGGATAGGACTTTGCCGAGTAACTGCCCAGAGTTATGTTTGTTTTCTGAGCCAGATTTAGCTGCGCACAACTCTCACTGATATAAGACTTACCTACTGTATGCCAGACCTTAATTAATTGCTTGTCCTTCTCAGCTACATAGTTTGCAGTTCTGTTTCTCCTGACCTAAGACACATTTATTGTCAGAGGGGAGCTCATGCACAGATG